GTAACCAGACATTTAACCAAGGATTGTAGTGTCCTTAAAAGGCACCTTGCGGAGCTTTGGGCCAGTGGAGATCTTTCCAAATTCGATATAAAAGATTTTGTGAAGGAATACCACGAAGCAAAGGAAAACTCCAAAGATCAAGATTCCAAAAGACCAAGGTTATCCAACGAGGAAGAACCAAGGAGTTCGAAGGGTAAGATCAATGTGATTCTAGGAGGCTCCAAATTTTGTCGAGATTCGATAAGTTCCATCAAAAAACATAGACGAAATGTCTTACTCAAAGCAAGCTTGAGCGAAGAAGTTGATTTTCAAGGTGCTTCAATATCATTTAACGAAGAAGAAACGCGGCATCTCGAAAGACCGCATGATGATGCTCTAGTCATTACCCTTGATGTTGCTAACTTCGAAGTATCAAGGATCCTTATCGATACAGGCAGTTTGGTCGACTTGATCTTTTTAAGTACTTTAGAAAGAATGGGAATCAGCCGAGTGGACATAGTAGGACCTCCATCTCCATTAGTTGCGTTCACAAGCGAGTCAGCCATGTCTCTCGGAACAATCAAGCTACCGGTCCTTGCCAAAAAGGTATCAAAGATCGTGGACTTCGTTGTCTTCGATAAGCCCGCAGCTTACAACATCATCCTCGAGACTCCCTGGATTTATCGAATGAAAGCAGTCCCCTCTACATACCATCAATGTATCAAATTTCCAACATCAAATGGGGTGGAAACAATTCGGGGAGATCAAGAAGCTTCACGGACGTGTTACCTAGCTAGCCACCGTTTGAAGATCCAATAGCAATTAACAAAGCCCGCAAAAGAAGGACTAAGGCAAAAATTTCCTAGTGGGCAGGAAAAAGAGGATGTAGTAGTCGAAGTGGTATTGAAAGAAGACAAACCAGATCGGAAAGTCCGAATTGGAGCAACTTTGACTGGCCAAATAAAAGAAGCTTTGGTCGAACTTTTGAGGAGAAACAAAACATCGTTTGCGTGGTCAGCGGCGGACATGCCTGGTATAGATCCAAATATAATTTGTCACGAGCTAAACGTGGATCCGAGCTTCAAACCGGTGAAACAGAAAAGAAGAAAGCTCGGAGTGGAGCGAGCCAAAATAGTAAATGACGAAGTGGATAAACTTTTGAAGATAGGGTCCATAAGAGAAGTGCAATACCCGGAATGGGTAGCAAATACTGTCGTTGTCAAAAAGAAGAATGGGAAAGATAGGGTTTGCATCGATTTCACAGACCTAAATAAAGCATGTCCCAAAGATAGTTTCCCGCTCCCACATATAGATCGACTTGTAGAGTCCACCGCTGGGAACGAGCTGTTAACATTCATGGACGCCTTCTCGGGTTATAATCAAATAATGATGAACCCCGAAGATCAAGAAAAGACGTCATTTATCACAGATAGAGGTATCTATTGTTACAAGGTAATGCCTTTTGGTTTGAAAAATGCAGGAGCAACTTACCAACGGTTGGTTAACAAAATGTTCCACAATCACCTCGGGAAGACAATGGAAGTCTACATAGATGATATGTTGGTTAAATCGTTAAAGAAAGAGGATCACGTTAAGCATTTAGAGGAATGTTTTGATATTCTCAATAAATATCAAATGAAGCTGAACCCGGCGAAGTGCACATTTGGAGTCCCATCCGGAGAATTTCTTGGCTATATCGTGACAGAAAGAGGGATTGAAGCCAACCCAAATCAAATTAACGCCTTTCTAAACATGCCATCTCCAAGAAACTTCAAAGAAGTACAACGGTTGACTGGGCGGATTGTGGCTTTGAATCGTTTTATCTCGAGATCAACAGATAAGTCGTTACCTTTCTACCAAATTCTAAAAGGGAACAAAGGATTCCTTTGGGATGAGAAGTGTGAAGAAGCTTTTGAGCAGCTTAAGGCATACTTAACCACTCCACCTATACTGTCCAAACCAGAAGTGGATGAAAAACTTTATTTGTACGTATCAGTTTCAAACCACGCGGTTAGTGGAGTCTTGGTTCGGGAAGATCGCGGGGAGCAGAAACCAATTTACTACGTAAGCAAGTCAATGACGGATCCGGAAACCAGATACACAATGATGGAAAAACTTGCACTCGCGGTGGTGACTTCGGCTCGGAAGTTGCGCCCATATTTTCAATCCCATCGGGTTGAAGTATTAACCAACCAACCACTCCGAACAATACTTCATAGTCCAAGTCAGTCCGGACGTTTGGCGAAATGGGCGGTGGAGCAACCGGAGAATTCAAAAGCCGGATCAGTATGAAAGCTCAGGTTTTAGCAGACTTCTTGACCGAGCTACCAATACCTGGAACGATAGAGCAACCGGAGAACCAAACTTGGAAATTACATGTAGATGGGTCTTCAACAAACCAAGGATCCGGAGTGGGAATCAAGTTGGAGTCTCCAACATCAGAAATTCTAGAACAGTCATTCCAATTATTATTCAATGCCTCCAACAACGAGGCAGAATACGAAGCCCTGATTGCCGGACTTCGATTGGCACAAGGAGTTGGAGCTAAGGAAATATTGGCTTATTGCGATTCGCAGTTAGTAGTTAACCAGTTTAATGGAGACTATGAAGCCAAAGACTCAAGAATGGAAGCGTACCTCGAAGTGGTGAAGGATCTATCTAAAAATTTCTCGAAATTCAAATTAATCCGCATACCTCGGGGGGAGAATACAACTGCGGACGCACTTGCCGCATTGGCGTCAACATCAGATCCTGAGTTGAAAAGAGTTATTCCAGTGGAATGCATTTCGGAGCGAAGCATTCAAGACGACAAGGAAACCCTCGTCGTTACAAGGTCTCGAGCAGCGGCACGTGACCGTGGCGAACCAGAGATCGAACCTCCACCCAACAAACGGAGGAAGTCAAGGGGATCCAACACATCTGACAAGGAACCCGTTCTCTTAGCAGAAGATGTGATTCCAGAAACGATATTAGAAACCGAGACGTTAATCGAGGAGAATGTTCTTGAACCAAACGAACATCCCGAACCGGAGCCACGAGTATTTCACAAGGTCGACCAAATTCCGGCTAAAGACTGGGGGGCTGACTGGAGGGAGCCAATAAAGCACTACATTATGACAGGCGAGCTCCCAAAGAATAAATGGCAGGCCAGAAAAATGAGAATTGTTAGCGCGAAATTTTGTCTGTCAAAAGACACATTGTATAGACGAGGTGTCAGTGACCCTTACCTATTATGCATTTTTGGGCCCGAAGTCGAAATCGTTATGAGCGAAGTGCACGGAGGATTATGTGGGAGTCATTCATCAGGAAGGGCTATGGCTTTTAAAGTTAAAAGAATGGGATATTATTGGCCCACTATGATCACAGATTGTGTTAAGTTCGCCCAAAGATGCAAGCGCTGCCAACTCCATGCACCATTGATCCATCAACCGTCGGAATTATTCTCCTCCATTTCCGCCCCATACCCGTTTATGAGGTGGTCAATGGACATCATTGGACCATTGCACAAGTCAACTCGAGGTGTACAATACCTTTTAGTCCTTACGGACTACTTTTCGAAATGGATTGAAGCTGAGGCGTATGTTGGTATCAAGGATTCGGCGGTGAAGACCTTTATTTGGAAAAACATTATATGTCGACATGGAGTTCCGTACGAAATAGTCACTGATAATGGACCACAATTCATTTCACACGAGTTTGATGCCTTTTGTGCGGACTGGGGAATCAAAGTTAGTTATTCTACTCCACGATATCCGCAAGGAAACGGTCAAGCCGAAGCCGCGAACAAGACGATATTGAGCAATCTCAAGAAACGCTTAAATCATCTAAAGGGAGGATGGTATGAAGAACTCCAACCCGTCCTGTGGGCCTATCGCAAAACCCCTGGGCGACCTACAGGAAAAACTCCATTCTCTTTGGTTTATGGCATGGAGGCGGTAGTACCAGCTGAACTCAATGTGCCCGGACTTCGCCGAACAGAAGCACCGTTAAATGAGGAAGAAAATTCAGCAATGCTTAATGATTCACTAGATACCATAAATGAAAGGCGTGATCAAGCTTTGATTCGGATCCAGAATTACCAGCAGGCAGCAGCCCGGTATTACAATTCTAAGGTTAAAAGTAGGCCGTTCTCCGTGGGAAATTATGTATTAAGGCGCGTCTTTGACAACAAAAAAGAAGAAGGTGCCGGTAAACTCGGTATTAATTGGGAAGGACCTTACATTATTACCGAAGTGGTTCGGAACGGTGTTTATAGGTTGAAAGACTTAGAAGACAATCCAGTCAAGCGACCTTGGAATGTGATCAACCTAAAGAAGTTTTATGTTTAAAGCTACATGCATTGTTTATGTACATGAACTACGGTGTGGCTTGATCCCGAAATGGGTACGTAGGTAGCTCGGAAACGAGTTCAGCTATTAATAAAAATTTGTTTTATTTCTTTATTAAAGGAAAAAGGTTCGAATGTGCGAACAAGTGAAGCAAATAAAGGTTCGGCTATGCGAACATACAAGAGATTGGAAATAGAGCGTTTATTCAAGCAAATAAGGCAAAATATCCCTCATCGTACACTTCGGATTATGGAGATCTTGTTGACGAACAGAACACTTTGACTCCTTGGCCAGCAAGGTCAAGGATTGACAACATGCAGTCTGGAATTCGAGCGAAGTCAGAGATTCCGAGTTCTATCCATTCTCCGGGGTGAGATTCAAGGATGTGGAGATCTCTTGATACTGTAGTAAGCCTGCGTTGCATCCGGAGTCTCCTCTTTTCCAGTGTAAGCTTCCGATGCTGAAGCGTGAGTGCCTCTATGAATGCCATCGCTGTTCCTTGGTCTCTGATTGGGAGATCCCTGATCAAAGCACATGGGGCTCGGATCTGAGATCTT